TTATATCTATTAATACGGATGAAAAGGGAGCCTTGGCGTAACTGGTAAAGTTGCTGCCATGTGACCAGGAGGTTACGAGTTCGAAACAGCCTCTTGCAGAAATGTAGGGTACGGCTGCGTACCATAGACTCTTGTGGTCCGGCCCTTCCCTGGACCCCGTGCATAGCGGGATCTTAGTGCACCGGACTGCCCTTTATATTTGTTAAGACTGATGCTGACTGCTTTTTTTGGGGGGTGTTTAAATTTTCAGTCACTTGGTCCAGAGTCTTGTTTTGCCTCTTCTATGAGAAGATCAGTTGGGGTTACTACAGGAATGGACCACACATCAATTGAGTTAATTGGAAGTGATAGACCAGGTTTACTATCTGAAGTAAGTGCTGTCCTTACCAACCTTAGATGTAATGTGGTGAATGCTGAAGTGTGGACACATAACACCCGAGCAGCAGCTATAATGCAAGTTACTGATGACGAAAATGGGGGTGCAGTTTCTGACCCCGAGAGGTTGACTATGGTCAAGAAACTGTTATGTAATGTACTTAGGGGTAGCAATAAATCAAGAGATGCTAAGACGTTGGTTTCTCACGGGGTCACTCATACCGAAAGAAGGCTTCATCAGTTGATGTTTGCTGATCGGGACTATGAACGTGCAACAGGTGACGGATCGGATGATAAAGAAAGGCCGAACGTAAATGTTGTTAATTGGCAAGATAAGGACTATTCAGTAGTGACAATTCGGTGCAAGGATAGACCGAAACTGCTGTTTGATACGATTTGCACTTTGACGGATATGCAGTACGTGGTTTTCCATGGCAACGTCGATACTGAAGGACCAGAAGCTTACCAGGTACTACACTTTCCTATGTATTTCAGAAATTTCTTATTGTTTTATCGCTTTACCCCTACCCGAATTTACTATATCTGTGTTTGTGGACTAAATGATAAACTCTTGTTGCATTTCAAGGAATACTGTATAAGGCATATCGATGGATCCCCTGTGAAATCAGATGCGGAAAGACAAAGAGTGATTCAATGTCTTGAAGCAGCAATAGAAAGAAGAGTATCTGAGGTTATAACTCTGATTTACTTATTTTAGACATCTTTTTAGGTTCAGTTATTTAGTTCTAGCTTAGCTCCTTCATATAATAACTAATAAGTCTCTTAGGCCAAAGGAAAAAAAGAAAGGAGGGAATCCTACTGTGTTTAATTGTTTTATTGAGTTAAAATATGCTTGTTTAATTGTCTATTAGTTGTCTGATTATGTCTCTCCTGTTGTCTTATTTTACAATTTAATTAAGTGCCCTGAGTCATATTAGTTTAGGTTTTGGACCTATTCTCATTGGACATAATATTTGAAAATTTTATACATCATTTTTCTTGTCTTGTTGGCTTTGGATTTCAGTTCTAATAGGATCATTTTTCCTTGTATGTGTTCAGGGATTGAAGCTAGAATTATGTACCACAGACAGAGTAGGGCTGCTATCTGATGTTACTAGAATATTCCGCGAGAATAGCCTTACTGTCACCCGAGCTGAAGTAACAACAAGAGCAGGCAAAGCTCTAAATACATTCTACGTTAGCGATTCATCAGGGTATCCTGTCGATGCTAAGATCATTGAATCAGTTCGACAAACAATAGGACAAACGATACTTCGAGTTAAAGGCAATCCTGAAGAGTTAAATCCAGTTCAACAAGAATCTCCAACTAGGTTTCTTTTTGGTGGTTTGTTTAAGTCCAGATCCTTTTGTAACTTTGGTTTGGTTAGATCCTACTCTTGAAATCACTAGCTATAGTTCTGTCATCCATTGTATATTCCTATTTACTCTTCTAGGTTTTAGGTATGGTTAATTAGCAAAAGTTGATTATTACCAGTGTCTGTAAATATACATTCTTGATCATATTATGCTTTGTTCTTTTGGTAATGGATTCAACACCTCGTTGACCAATCATGTAGCAATTTGCTGCAGAAAATCCGCGTCAAAATTGATACTTTTATGCACAGATGTTTACTTTCTTGATTACTGTACAGTCAAATCTGGCCTTTCATTTGTGTTGATAGCAACTAGCAATAAGTTGTTATTGTCCTATGTTTGGTTCTTGTGACAATTGTCTTGACCTACATTTGACTTGATTCGTGATGTTTTCTACATTTTTGAAGAATAATAATGAACCTTGGAATGGTCAAATATTCAAGTAGTTTCTTGTTAGAAACATTTCTCTGTCAAAAGAAAAGGCCATTAGATATACTAGTAGTATTTTTCTCAATTCCTAGAGCCATCCAACTTTGACTAGCTAATTTCTTGGTTTAGTCGGCCAATTAATCGCGGCGGCTTGTGAGATCATGTCTTAATTATGAATTTAGTATTAAGATGGTTTCTCAAGATTCCCATGTCCAAGTATTTTAATAATGATTAGAAGTATATATACATTGATAGTACAAAGTATTTTTATGTTACTAGTTTATTTAACATGTTGTAACTCAACTTGTAATTGCATAATTTTTTTAAATTACTAATCTCACCTAATTATGGATTTTTTTGTTATTATTTTTTGGGGGATCTGATTATGTAAAATTTCTTTTTACGCAGTTAATGTATACTACTTAAACTTTTTTAATAAACCTTCAGAAGAGACGTGATCGGAAAAGGTTTGGCTTACTGAAGGATTTTGATTTGTTATATATATATATATTTTTTTTGATTCCTGTCTGGTGTCCGGTACCCGCATTGGAGCCCAACTATATTAGGAGTCGCGCCGCGTAAGGCCTCATTCGGAGAGAAGCGCTTCCTACCAAGGATTTTTTCATTTCTAAGGCTTGAACCCGCGGCGTCTAGTTAAGGGAAGAGCAGCCCTATCTGCTGCATCCGTAGTTTGATTTGTTATATTAATGATGTGTGTGAATGGTCTTACTTCTAATATAAAATCTTATTGGTGCATTTCTTGGTTAGTGATTATTTCTTGAAATTGGTGGTTCCTCTATTTTGGCATTTTGACAATTTTGTTTTAACTAATCCCCACTTTTGGAAGCTTGATAAGGATTTCAAACCTAAGAGCTTGTCATGTTGTCTATTAGGTCAATTGTTCACATTGAGCCTTTAATCTTGTTGGAGGTTACAAGTTAGTGAATAATAGATGTGTTTCTCAGCTGTCATTATGCTGATCCAGAATTGGCTAAATTGCATTTATGGATTTTGTCATACAAGAAATTTCAGTTTAAGGATTGCAGTCAAAAGAAAGATGCTTGAAGTAGTCTAGCCTAACGGTTAATAAAGTAAGTGAAAATCAGAGGAGATTGAGATCTAAACTCAGAAGAGACAGCAAATGCAAGATGATTCTTTTCATTTTCCTAATATTTCAGTCACCCGTATTTATCTATATTATATTAAAAGGAGTGTAGTTTGCCATGTGGTTAAGCCAAATGACAAGCTAAAATGAAGTCACTTGGCAATTTTAAGACAACACAAAAAATTTGGGTTATAAATAGAAAAATATTTAATGGTTGCAACTTTCATTAAGCAAACAAATATACTATAACTATAGGTATCTTTAATTAAATTTGTGTATAATTCAGTTATGGTAGGTATCTTTTTTTGAGAAAGAATCAATTAAAATTTCGTTTTGTATCTTACACATTAATTTTAAGTTGAAATAATAATTCTATATTTAGTATAAGCTTTGTATCTGACCTTATTTGCGAACAATATATATTATTATAGGCATGTTTAATTAAATTTTATGTATAATTCAGTTATGGTAGTTATTCTTTTTTAAGAAAGAAATAACTAAATAAATATTTTTTGTTTATGAGTTTTGGTATCTTTAATTAAATTTTGTGTATAATTCAATTATGATAGATATCCTTTTTTGAGAAAGAATCAATTAAAATTTTATTTTGTATCTTATACATTAATTTTAAGTTGAAATAATAATTTTATATTTTGTATAAGCTTTATGTCTGACCTTATTTGCGAACAATATACATTATTATATGTATCTTTACTTAAATTTTGTGTATAATTCAGTTTTGGTAGTTATTCTTTTTGTAAGAAAGAAATAATTAAATAAATATTTTTTATTTATGAGTTTTGGTATCTTTAATTAAATTTTGTGTATAATTCAATTATGGTAGGTATCCTTTTTTGAGAAAGAATCAATTAAAATTTCGTTTTGTATCTTACACATTAATTTTAAGTTGATAATAATTCTATATTTAGTACAAGCTTTATATCTGACCTTATTTGCAATATATATTATTATATGTATCTTTAATTAAATTTTGTGTATAATTCAGTTATGGTAAGTATTCTTTTTTAAGAAAGAAATAATTAAATAAACATTTTGTATCCTACATTTATATTATATTAAAAGAAATAGTATTTAAAAACGAACAAGAAGACAAAGGAAAAAAATAAGAAAAATTAAGGTTTGGTGGTTAACCACAAAAAAAACTTTGAAAATTAAAAATGTCAAAAGTTAAAAAATAAAAGATTCGTAATGACAAAAAAAGAAAGACATATTCGTATCATTTCTTCAGAACTCACACATACAAATTGATTTACACATGCCGTTTTTAAATATTAGGATTTCATATACTCAAAAATTTATTTACTATGATAGTCTTTCCTTAGAAATCTTTATTTAAGCAACTTTTCTTTAGGATTGACTTCTTTACATTGCCTAGGGTTTCGCTTCCACACAAACTTCTACAAAGTATGGCTCCAAACTATAACTATATTAGCGAAATATCGATGTCCAAAATGAGTTGAAATTTGAAGGTTCGTGTTGTTAGATTATGGCACATTCCAGACTGCGAGAAACCAGAAAATTTTAATTCAATTGAATTAATTATTCACGATGAAAAGTTGCATACTTCTTTATATGTTGTTATTTTTTTCGAGTTGTGATGTATTTTCTTTAACTTATGTGTCTTACTAACTTAAATTTCTTTCCACATTTTTTATTTTAGGGAGATCGAATTTATGCAACTATTGGAAGAGCTGTTATGCGTATTTTCAAAACAAAAATACATGAAATGGGATTATACGTTATGAAAAACTTTATGGTTGGACCAAACAATCTGAAAATTAAGACCAACAAGCATAAATTGAAACTGACATTTGCTCATAGGACGAGTGTGGATGAAATTAGTGATCCATAGTTTAGTTTGAATATCTTCAACTTTAAGCCTTATGAGCATCTAACAAATCAACTTGAGGTTGATGAGAATGAACTTTTCGGTAATTGTTTTACCTTTCGCTATTTTTTGTTGAATGTTTTATCACCTTATCTATAACTATTTATTTAAATGTGGCAGATGTCATAGGAGAAGTTATTGATCATGGTAACATAGAATCGTACAATCAAGGTGGTAAAACAAGTACCTTTATGAACTTGGAGCTTGAGGATCAGGAGTACGCTTGCAACCAAGAATTGAATTATCTATAGATTCAATTACTATTATTTTTCTCATTATTAATTTGTGTATTTGACATATAAGAGGAACAATATTTCAGCAACATTTTGGGGAGAATTTATAGATGAAATCTTGCCCCACTTGATGGATCACCCAATCAACGTGTCATAGTAGTTATGCAGCTCATAAAAGCTTACAAATTTCAAGGTAATCATATCATAATATTTATATTTGACTTCTATTTGTGTGTGTGTATTTAAATTAAAGTTAATTTTATATGTAGGCAAATATTCTGTGCGTAATACTTGGCATTCCTCGAAGCTTTGGATTAATCCTGATCTTCCATAAGTTGCTTAATTTATATCCAGGTTTTTTATATATAATATTAAATTTATATATGTATTACATAATTTTTCTTAGCATATTTAGAACTAATACAAATTTGGATAAACGCAGATTAGGAAGTGGGCGTGAAGTTAACTTTGAGGGGATTAGTCAAACAACTTCTCAATGTAGTTATTCTGTTTCTGAAGAACTGGCTGTTAGAAATGTGGAAGTTAAAAATATTGGAGAATTAATTGATTTCATGCAGGTAAGTAAAATGTTCTTTAGACAAACCATAACTAACAAATATAGATCTGTCATCTTATATAATATTTTGGATTTTTTTTACAGGAAGGACAAATCTGGATTGTTGCTACTGTAGTAAATTTAGAACTTGAAAGGGGATGGTCACATGTAGGGTGCAAAAAATGTTCGAAGAAAGTTAATAAAACTGAAAATAAATTTTACTGTAAGAAATGTGAACGTGTTGATCAGTCTGCTCTGAAAAGGTTTGACTGTAATCTATGCTTAATTAAAGATTGTTAGAACATAAATTTAAGTTAAAAAAAGGTTTTTAACTTAAAGAAGTTATCAGATACAGGCTTCAGGTTCGAGTAATTGATGGAACTGGCTCTATTTTTTTGTTTCTTTGGGATCGTGAGGAAACAAAACTCATTGAAAAGTCTGCTGATACCTTGAAAGAAGGTGTAGTAGAGGTATGTTATTTTATTTCCATTGTTTCATATTTTTTAGCACTTCTAATACTAACATTGGTTTAGACTTCTGGTGCTGCTTTTGAGTGTTCTCATCCATTGAAGAAAAAGTGTTTATTCCAAGAATGACGTTGACTCCATCTGATGCGAGAATACCTTTTAAGTTTCATCGACGACAATTTCCAATTGTGGTGTCTTTTGCCATGACAATTAATAAAAGTCAAGGCCAGTCGTTGTCTCATGTTGGATTATTTTTGAAGAAATCAGTATTTATACATGGACAGTTGTATGTTGCTCTTCACGGGTGAAAAGTAGAAAAGGGTTAAAGATTATAGTTTATGATGATGATGGACAAATAACAAATGAAACTAGAAATGTAGTGTACAAAGAACTTTTTCATAATTTAATTTAATACGTTATTAAATGATTTGTCATTTAATTATTGTGTATTGTTAGTCTTCTGATCTTTTCGTCTTATGTATTATTTTTTAGTTAATATTTTTAATTTGGTATAACTATGTTATGTGGCAGTTCACTAGAGGTTTATCACTACAAGAGTGATAAGGTTGTTCAAGGAGTCACTGGTTTGATTCAGTCGCATATTAGTCCTCCGTCATTTTTGTAGCCTAATCCACAAAGTTCCAAGCTTTTTGATGTAGAGTTGACTAGTCAAAGTTTCATTCCGAGGGATTTTGGGATAACTATGGATAACACTGCTATTTCAGGGGTTTCCGCGATTTTTGATATTGGGAACAGATTAGTGCAGGCTACCATGCTGGTTTGAATAGCTGAATTTATCAGCTCTCCGCGGTTGACCTGTCCCTTTACTGCCTCAACTTTGGCTTTAGACAGTGTTAGGCTAATAGACAAAGCCTGTGGAATGGTAGGAAGAGTAAAAAGTTTCAATTACCACAAATGCCCGACAATAATAAAGAGAGAGCCTTAGCAGGAAGTCGATTTTTGCATATGCATTGCCCCATATATTTTGATACTGAATAAGCTAATGTTTGACATAATTCATGTTCCTTCATCATTCTCTCAATATAGAGACAACTTTTGGAAAATGCAATGCAATATATCATGAGCATTTGCTACAAAAATATTTCCTTAAGCACATGCTTCATATCAAGCAAATAGTATAGCATCATTATTTTTCGTGGAACATTCATATCAAACAAATTGTATAGTATCATTATTTTGTATGGAACATTTATTAGGAGATGAAATGAAAGTTTTACTGGAGTCTTAAAATATTTTTAATGTTTGGTTGTAAAGATGGTATTATCACTAACATATTAAATTTTACGGTGTAGATAGTTCTTTTTAATTATCTGCGCATCGCGCGGGTACTAATACTAGTATCTATATTATATTAAAAGGAGGGTAGTATGCATTGTGGCTAAGCCAAGGTGCAAGCTAAAAAGAAGCCACTTGTCAATTTAAAGACAACATTTATAATTAAAAATTATAAATAGAAATATAATTAATGGAAGTAGTTGAATTAATCTTATACATAATCTAAATAGATCTTAGACAAATCTAATCTATATATCTATATTTATATTTATACGCATATTAGTATCTACATCTATATTTATATTTTATATTTATATATTGATCCACTCATAGATTTTCTTATATATTAACTAGAAATATGGAGGTGAAAAATTAATTAAAAAGCTATAATAGAAACAAAATAAAAAATATAAAAAGACGTAAATGGAAATAACATATGACTATTTATACTTTGGAGTGAGTTAAAATAAAATAAAGCGGCGTATTAAGAATAAGACACATAGCAAAGTAAGACAAAACAAATAAAAATTTAGGAAAGGCTTAGGATAAAGTTAAAAGGATAAGAAGAAAATATAATGTATTAATTTTGCATCACATTCGAAGATTTGGAAATTTTTTATTTTTAATTGGACTAATAAATGCCTAAAGTTATGGGATATTGTAAATCCTATTTAAAACTACTTTGCCACTTAAATTTTAGGCATTTAAAGGGTTAATTGCAAGAACTATATATTTGAAAGGGTAACATCGAAAGATTTTTTTTTTTGAAGCCTATGTGCTTTTTTCCTAATTTGACATTGAATTTTTTCAATATTGTTAACTTCTCGAAAAATCGAAATATTTATAAACCAAATTCCAAGAGAATATGTGTGTGCGTATTATATATATATATATATATATATATATATATATAAATTGCATTGTGATTAATCCAAGTGACAAATTATTATAAAGCCACTTGGCAATTTAGGATAATATTAATACTAATACCTAATTGAATTAAAATATATTTTTACGAACCTTAATGAAAAGAAAGTGAATATTTTTGTAAAGATATTGTCTGTCGTATCTTAATTAATAAGATTTAAAAAAAAATTGTATTGAAAGATAAAAACAACGCCTCTATCTTAATTAATTATAAAGATAAAAATATAGGTGTTATAAAAAATACGATAAATTTAAACATTAATATCATAAATAGAATTAAAAAATTAAAAGAAAAAGATTATATATATATATATATATATATATATATATAGAAATATTTCGAAGGATAAGCCTTATTTGATTTTTGAGAAAAGAAAGTATTTTAAATAATAACGAATAAAATTTGCATTGTGGTTAAGCCAAATGACAAACTACTATAAAACAACTTGTTAATTTAGGATAATATTAACACTAATACTTAATATAAATTTAATTTTTTTAATCTAAATGGAAAGATGGTGAATATTTTTGTAAAGATATTGTCTGCCCTATCTTAATTAATAAAATTTAATAAATAAATAAATTGACTGATAAAAACAAACGCCACTTTCTTAATTAATTATAAAGATAAGAATATAGGTACTATAAAAAATATGATAAATTTAAACATTAATATGAACAATAGAATAAAAGAATAAAAGTAAATAAAAAAATTACTACAAGAAAAAAAACCCTATTTTTATTTATAATGTACTATAATGGAAGCAATGGACAAGAATATGATAATTTTAAGTTATGGGTAATGCAATAGAGACAAGAAATTATGGGTAATTTTAAGAGATTTGAGAAATTTTTGTATTTTTTTAACATTTATTTAATGATTATATATAACTTTTATTTGAAAGATTAATATTTTAAAGTTATTTGCACATAAATCAAATAACTCAAATCACAGGTTTGTGTCTGCGCATCGCGATGGTACTAATACTAGTTATATTAAAAGGAGGATAGTGAAGTATGTGGTTAAGCCAAGTGGCAAGGTAAAATGAAGCCACTTGGCAATTTTAGGACAACAATAATAATTAAAAATCATAAATAGACACATAATTAATCGAAGTAGTTTAATGAATCTTATACATAATCTAAATAGATCTTAGACAAATCTAATAGAAATATCTATATTTATATCTATATATTGATCCACTCATAGATTTTCCTCTATATTAGCTAGAAATATGGAGGTAAAAAATTAATTAAAAACTATAATAAAAAATAAAATATAGAAATACGTAAATTGAGATAATCTATGACTATTTATATTTTGGAGTAAGTTAAAATAAAATTAAACTTTACTTAAGATATTAAAAATTTATTGACTTTAAAAATTAAATAAATTCAAGCAGCAAAATAAGATCTTATATAAAGTATACAAATTATTTATAAAGTAAGAAAAAAAATAATCAGTAAAAAATACTTTAATAATACTACTAATAAATTCATATTAATATTGACAAATCGGACAAACAAATATTTTATACGTAAATATTACTACAACATTTAGATATAATGTGTTCAAACAATTAAGAAAATATTTTTTTATGATTAATATTTGCATTGAGTGCAGTTAGTTTAAGTTTGAAAGCATAACATAAATTTTTGAAAATACGGTCCAATTTAGAAAATAGAATGATAAAAATTATTTGAATTTGATATGAGAACGTTATTTAATTTTATTTATATTATATTAGAATGAGTGTAGTAGAAATAAATATTAAATTCAAACAAGCTATTAAAAATCCACATGACAGTTTAATAATATTAAAAATTGAATAATATAATATAAAAAATAAAGATTAATTAGAGAAAAAATAAAAATTCAGATTTTTTATCATAGAGAAAAAGGGTAAAACTAATTTAAATTTGAGATAAGAAAGTTTTTTATATTGTGATAAGAAAAGTCATAATATGGATAAATTCACGTAACTCAAGTCTAATAGATAAAATCAAAAACTAAACATATTGAATAATAAAAGTAAATTAGAGATACTGGGAGGTTATTTATAAATCATAATTTTTGAAAATAAAATAAAGTAAATATAAATTACTTAAAAATATTATTAAATATAAATAAATATTTATTTTATGTTAAAAAAATTATATATTTATCTATATTATATTAAAGAATAGTAGTTGATAATGATATTAAATAATATTACAAGTTAATAAAAAGCCAGATAAAATGTAATAAGACTATATATTAGATTAAAAAAATAGCAAAATTATTAAAAATTTAATATTAGAAATAAAAGGTAAAAACTATTTGAATTTGAGATTAGAAAGTTCTTAAAACTATGATGAGAATGCTCAAACTATGGATAATACCGCGAAATTGAAGTCTTATTTATGAAAAATAATAAATATAATAAAAAATAAAAATTTAAAAACACAAAATAAATTTCTAATATAGGTAATTTTACTAATAAAATTAAATATTAAATTTGTATCTTAAAATTAATAAAGAAAGAAAATTTACGTAAAGAAATAATATGATAGTGAAAATATTACTACAACATTCAGATATAATATGTTCAAAAAATTAAGAAATGTTTTTTATGATTATAATAAATTTTAAAAATACAAAATAAACTTCTAATATAGGTATTTCTACTAATAAATATTAAAAATTAAATCTGTATCGTAAAGCTAAAAAAGAAAGAAAATTTACTGCATCTAATACAAAATAATTATAAGAGAACTCAATACATTTGGAACATAATAATCAAATAACCTATCTATTAATATTTTAGACTAATTCAAAGTTATAATTTAAAATAAAATATGATATTATTTTGGTTATAGGAAAAACATTAATATAAAAAGTAATTAAATTTATAGTAGGGAACAGAATGTATAAAAAAATAGAGGTAGTGTGAGGATACTTATAGTTTAAATTAACTTAAAAATAAATAAATTATATTTTAAAATAATAAATTTAAATGATTAAAAAATTCCAAATAAGAGATTACAAGCATAAAAATATACCAAATTTCAAGAATAAAATATTTATATTTATTAAAGACTATTAAAAGGATAATAAGCAAGACATCAATTTAATTATTAAGCTAATAAAAATTTATATTATAGTGTTATAATATTAAATAATAAATAATACAATAACTATAAGAAAAGAACAAAAAGAAAAAAAAAATTTGCGTAAAAATGATGTGATAAATAAGAAATATTTGACATTTCAGATAAAAACAAAGTGATCGAATTTTTTTTGTTAAAAAAATATTATCTGACAGTCATTTGGCAATACTCAAAACAAAAAGATTGTGTGAATCCTCAACCAGAAAGACAAAACACTCAAATGGACAAAATTGGTCTGTCCTAAAAAAGAAATGAAAATGTTTATCCAATTTTAAAAAACTAATATGTCAAAGAAAATAGTACTACCTTTTGATGGCTACCCAAATGAAATGAAAACAAAAGTAGGGGGAAAAAAGGAAATACATGAAAAATACATGGCACTTTTGCCAATATGAAAGGTCCGAT